CTTGTAAAGTCGCAATCGATGTCTCAATGGGTAGTGTTTGCTGGTGAATTCTTGTCGGTGGCCGCTAAAACACGCCCAACGCAGCTTGACTCAGGAGGAGGGGGGGAAGAGGAGAGAAAAGGAAGAAGAGGAGTAGGAGAAGGGGAAGAAAGAGGAAGAGGAGGAGGAGGAGAAGGAAAAGAAGGAAGGAGAGGAATAATGTTCGAACACTTCACGAACAACTATACGAAAACACTCTTCGAAAGGCGACGGACTCCACAATCCCCCGTTCTCTGCTCCCCCTCCTCCTCCTCCGCCTCCTCCTCCTCCTCCTCTCAACCCACGGTGGGCCCGAACGGAGGCCTGTCGTCCAGGGGCTTAATGCGGGGATGCTTCCCCCTGCGGCTTGAGGACCTGGGTTCCCCCTGAACCTAGGCAACACCTGGTCGCCTTGCCAGGCGTGCTAAAATTTTGCGATGGCGATGAATATGCCGCGGCCGCTGGCGGTGATCAAGCTCGGCGGCTCCAGGATGGTGGTGTTCCACAACCACACCGCTACGGACCACTTCCTGGACGGCCTCCTGCTGGAGCTGAAGTCCACTGTGCCGAGCGAGACCGGCCTTTTGCAGATGGGCCTGAAGGTCACCACGCCGAGCGAGCAGCAGAAGAAGGACAAGGAGTTGATCAACCAACTCCAACTTGTGCCAGAGGTGATGACGAAAGAGATGATGCTCAAAGAGACATTTTTTTGAATCGGCGATAACACGGGTTTTCCGAGGGGGAGGAGGGGGCCGGCCGATAGCCTAACCTTCGCGCTGTGGGCAGCTTTGCACGCGCACCGGTGCTGCAGTCCCTACAACTGCCAACGATGCCGCCGCGATGCTACGATTGGTGCTGCGACGATGCGGGCGCGGTATGAGAATGCCTAGGGATGTCTGGACAGCTCGCAGTGGAATGCGCGGGATGCGATTGCTAAGCGCAGCCGCGACTTGTTGTGTACAGAATCTGTAGAACACGAGTGCACCACACTTCCTGCGATCACAAGTGCGCCACAACGGTCTTGCACACCACAAGTGCTGCTGCAGCAGAGGTTTCTGCGTGCACTGGCTCTTCGAAGATATGGTTCCCGCTGTAACGCTGGCCTCTTTTTCGAGCTTCCGCTCGGTTCGATTCCGGCGAACTGTTTTTACAAAAAATTGGGGAGTGTGTTGTTCATGTCTGCTGTTCAAACCGAGCTGTTCGGTTTTTTCCGACACGCTGCTCCCGCGGCAGTGCCCGCCGGTGACTGAATGATTGACTGAGTGATTGACTGACTGAACGTCAGGATGGCGCCTTGAACAACACATTTCAACCCGCCCGCGGGCGCGCAACCGCAACTGGGCGACACATTTCAAACCGCCCGCGGGCGCGCAACCGCAACCGCAACTGGGCGACGCATTTCAACCCGCCCGCGGGCGCGCAACAACAACAACCGCACCTGGGCGGCGCATTTCAACCCGCCCGCGGGCGCGCAAACGCAACTGGGAGACACATTTCAAACCGCCCGCGGGCGCGCAACCGCAACCGCAACTGGGCGACAAATTTCGACCCGCCCGCGGGCGCGCAACCGCAAGCGCAACTGGGCGATACATTTCAACCCGCCCGCGGGCGCGCAACCGCAACCGCAACTGGGCGACGCAATTCGACCCGCCCGCGGGCGCGCAACCGCAACCGCAACTGGGCGACACATTTCAAACCGCCCGCGGGCGCGCAACCGCAACCGCAACTGTGCGACACATTTCGACCCGCCCGCGGGCGCGCAACTGCAACCGTTACTGGGCGACACATTTCAACCCTGCCGCGGGCGCGCAACCGCAACCGAAACTGGGCGACACATTTCGACCCGCCCGCGGGCGCGCGACCGCAACCGCAACTGGGCGACACAATTCGACCCGCCCGCGGGCGCACAAACGCAACCGCAACTGGGATACACATTTCAAACCGCCCGCGGGCGCGCAAACGCAACCGCAACTGGGCGACAAATTTCAACCCGCCCGCGGGCGCGCAACTGCAACCGCTACTGGGCGCCCGCGGGCGCGCGACCGAAACCGCACATGGGAGACACATTTCAAACCGCCCGCGGGCGCGCAACCTCAACCGCAACTGGGCGACACACGTCGACCCGCCCGCGGGCGCGCAACCGCAACCGCAACTGGGCGACACATTTCAACCCGCCCGCGGGCGCGCAACCGCAACCGCAACTGGGCGACACATTTCAACCCGCCCGCGGGCGCGCAACGGGCGCGCAACCGCAACAGGGCGAGCGGGCGCGCAACTGCGACCGCACCGCCCACCTGCCGCCCTCCTCCAGGGGATCTGAGGCGGAGGAAGGGTGGGGGGGAGGTGAGGGGGATGGGGGGGGAAGGGGAGGGGCGGGAGGGAGGAGGAAATAGGGGGGGGGAGAGGAGACGGGGGGAGGGTAGAAAGCACGCAATGAGTGTTGGCGGACAACTTCTGCCCGCCCCCCCCCCCCCGTTCCGCGCAAGTGGATCTCCACGGGGCTCCAGACCCTGGAATCCTTACCCAAGGCATCCACGGTCTGCTGGCGGGATGGGGGGGTCAACCGCCCCCGAGGGGGGAGACGAGGCTTTGACAGAAGCGGCCCGTTGCACTGCCTAGTTTGAAATTTGGGGGGCGACGCCGCGGGGATCGATTGCGCGTTCGCCCGCGCGCAAGCTGCCGGCGGATGCAGGTGCATCGGCGCCGTCTTATTCATCCAGCTTGCCGCGTCTTATCCATGATCTGGTGCAGGGGCAGGTGGGGGAGGAGGACGAGGGGGAGGCAAGGGAGGAAGAGGAGGAGCAACAGGACGAGGAGGAGGAGGATGAGGAGGAGCAGCAGGACGAGGAGGAGGAGGACCAGGATGGCCAGGAGGAGGAGGGCGATGGGGAGGGGGATGCCAGTGTGGTGCTGCTTGAGATGGTGCACGAGCAGGTGCTTGTTGCGGAGGACTGAGGAGGATGAGGTGGTGGACGTCACGGAGGATGGAAGTGGATGTCCTCCTCGCGGCCTCCGGGCGTGACCCGCGGTTCTCCGCCGGGACATTTCAGCGGGGAATCCCCATTCCACGCTTCTGCTTCTGATATTCAAGCTCCAATCGCCGTCCGCGAGGACGACAGCTGGGCTGTGCTCGAATTGGTTCCCAACTCGGGGATGAAAAACTGCATGAACATAAACTTTCGGCGGTCCTACATGGATATCTTGGATCTGCGCTGGGACTACATAGCGGCGCTTCCGGCGCCCCCTCTCTACAATCCTCCTCCCGTGGCCGCGGGTGATCAAACGAACGCATGAGGACGAATAGAAAATCATCTTCCGCAAGACGGCAAAATAAAACGCCAAGGGGGCAGAATATTGAAAAACAGATTCCGGCGGCTGAATTCTGTGCCACGCTCATTCAAGTTGGGGCCGCTGGGACGGGGGGGAGCATTTACTTACTCGCTTGCCCAAGTTACATTACAGTGCATGCGTACACGACAACACCCGTGTGCACCACAGCGCCTGTGTACACTGCGGTGTTTCTGCACACCACAGGAGCCGCACCACAGCTCATGGCAAACATTTGCGCCACAGCGCTTCCGTGCACCTCCAAGGTCCCGCCGGGGCCCAAATCTGGAAAATCCCCAGGGGCCCGAACGTATCAAGTTCAATCTGTAATTTATTCATGATTATTGTTTTTTTCTGGTCCGGGGTGAGGTCATCCCGTTTTTGGCCGATCATGTTTGTGTGCACCACAACGCCTGTTTAGCGTGCGCCACGGCGCCTTTGCACACCACAACTACTTGTGAGCGCCTGTCTACACAACGATGCCTGTGTACACGACAGTGCCTGCGTACACCACAACACCCGTGTGTACCACAGCGCCTGTGTACATCACACACACACAATCACACACAATCACACACACACACACACACTGCATGTGAACACAACGGTGCCTATGTGCACCACGGTTGCTGCTCAAGCGCCATATTCGTGCACCACAACCCCACTGCACCAAAGTGCGTGTGTACACCAAAGAACTGCGTACATTTCCAGGGCCCCGGCAGAACCGAACTCCAGAAAATCGTGGGGAATCAAATCCAACATATATATATATATATATATATATACATAAACCGTTTGTGAGTTTGATTCGTCATTCGAAGGGAACGGTCCCGTCTTATGGGCCCACGACGCCTGTGTACACCATAGCGAATGTGTGCACAACAACGGACGTGTACACCGCAGCGCCTGTGTACACCACACGGTGTGGCACACCGCAATGACAAAACACCACAATGCTTCTGTACACCACCATGCTTGGGATGCTTGCGTGCATGAAAACGGAGGTTGCAACAACAGTTGCGCATACCACAAAGCCTGTTTTCACCATATTGCCTGGGTGCATCACGATGCCCGCGTGCACCGCGCGACCTGCGTGCATTTACGCTTGCGTGCACCATAACGCCTGCGTGCACAACAGATACTGCTGCAACAGCAGCTAACGCGCGCACTAAATCGCCTCGCTGCCAGTGTACAGCGCAATGCCTGTGTACGCGCTGCTCACGTGCACGTCCAGATGCCTATGACGGCGTCGGTCGTCGTCGGTCGTCGGTGTCGTCGTCGTCGTTCGTCGTCGTCTATCGTCATCTATCGTCGTCTGTCGCCGCCTGTCGTCGTCTGTCGTCTGTCGCCTGTCGTCTGTCGTCTCTCGTCTGTCGTCGTCTCCCCGTGCTCTCCGAGCCTCAAAGTCTCGCCAACGTGCATCCAAACACCAGCCATGCTGTGGCGAACACCACCGCGCCGTTGAACACAGCGCTCCATGCAAGCTCCCTGCGCCCCTCCTGGACCTGCACAACCGGCAAACTTAGGTTATCCTGGGGGGGGGGCGGGCGATCCCGATAACCCGGGTTATCGCCAGACCCTAACAAAAACGTCTCCAGTCACCATTGGACGTTGGCAGCCTGAACGACGCGATGGAGACGAAGGGTCGCCCCAAGGTCCAATCGGAAGTGGAGCGCCTCAACGACGTGATCGAGAAGAAAGGCCTTGCCAAGACTAGAAAGGACATCAAAAATATGAAAAACATCCTCCAACTTTTCCGCAAGAGCCACGCTGAGATGAAGTCGCAGCTGAAGGAGCAGCTCACCGAAGAGGTGCAGGAGAAGCTGGCCGAAACCACAAAGGATCTCGACAGAATGAAGTTGCAAATGAACGCGAGCAACGCCCGCGTAGACCAGGCCAACGAGGAGCTGAAGGAGATGGTGTTCCAGCTCGTTGGTCAAGCCAACGGGCAGATCGAGGAGATGAAGAAACAACTCCAAAGGGAAGTTGGCTCTTCCAATGACAAGAATGAGACGAAGGGCCTCGCCAAGGCCAAAGAGGATATGAATGACATGAAGAAGCAGTTTCAGCTCTTCGCCGACGCCCAGGCTGAGATGCAGCTGAAGCTGATGGAGCAGTTCGCCGAGGCGCAGCTGGAGCTGGCCAATTTCGGAAAAGGATGTTGACAACGCGAAGCTGCAGATGGAGTCTTGCAGCAGTCGCCTCGACAAGGCCGACGTCGAGACTAAGGAGATGATGCACAAGCTCCAAATGGAAGTTGTCAGCCTCAAAGACAAAATGGAGATGAAGTGCCTAACCAAGGCCATCAAGGACATCAAGGTGATGAAGGAGAAGTTCCAGCTCCTCCAGGACGGCCAGGCTGCGATGAAGCTGCAGCTGAAGGAGAAACTCACCCACGAGATGCAAGAGAAACTGGCCGAGTACAAGTCCGTCTTGCTCGAGCGCACGCAGCCGCTGGCAGAGATTGCCCTGCTGCGCGTCCTCGCGAACGCCAGCGAGGGGAACAAGCGAGGAGTCTGCGACGGGCGTGCAGCCCGCCTCCTGTCCCCTCTTCCCCGTGGCCCTCGGCTGGGCCGAGGCAGCTCCTGCGCCTTTCGGCAGGCAGGTGAACCACAGCTGCGTCGGGAGTATCCCTCCCGCGTGTCGGCCGCGGGCGGGCGTTCGGCAGGTGACTTTTTCGGTGCGATAACCCATTAAAACCACGATTGCAACGATGACGTGTTCAATCCTCCTCCTCCTCCTCCTTCTCCTCCTCCTCCTCTTGCTCCTTCTCCTCCTCCTGCTGCTGCTCCTCCTCATCCTCTTCCTCCTTCTCCCCCTCCCCATCCTCATCCTCCTCATGTCCCCTAAAACTGCAGAGTTCTGGGGCGGGGGCATGCAGCTGGCCCTCGGTTGCCCCCTTGGTGGCTTCGTGGTTGCGTGGCAATCGGTGGGTTCACACGTGTGGCCTGCTCGGGCAACGGAGTGTTTCGCCTCGCGCGCCCTCCTTGCCCGCTCGGGCGGTGGCACCGTTTCGTGGCTGCTCTTCCTGACCTTCCTTGGGTTCTGTGCGGTGCCGTGCGGGTGTGCCGGGCGTTTCCGTGCGGAGCGTGGCTCGCGGTGCGCGTGGTGCCGCGCATGGCCGTGTACTGCCGCCCCGGCACCTGGGCGGGGTAGTAATTTCAATTAAGTATGGCTCTCTGTTCACCAATGGTTGGCCGAATAACTCTCTCTCGCGAATGTGGCTGGCCGAATGTACCACCCGGTGCATGTGTGTGGGCCGCTTGCAGCGGCCCCCCGCGCCCCTGTCCCACCCACCGGCCACAGAGGCTGGCCCCTTGGAGACACACTAGGGCACGAAAGGATCCACAGAATTGCCTGGGCGCCTCGGGCGACTTCGTGTGAGTAATTAGACAGTTGCGGCATGGCGGCATGGACACCCCTTGCTTGCCCGCCCAACGGTGCGGGCGTTGGACCGCGCTCCCATCTCATCATTGCCACATGCACACGGACCGTCGGCACTGCGACCATCAGCGTTAGCAGCGCTGTGCCCTATCAGCGTCGTCGCCGCGGCAAACAGAACCCTTGGGGGGCCAGGAGAGCGACGCAGGGGCGCGAAATTGCCCGCTCGGAATTGCCCCAGCGCTGCCGCCCAGAATGGCCGCACGGAAAGTCCCCCAAATTGATTCCCCAGACTCGCTTGCGAGCGCCCGGCCGCGCATGCGAGCGCCCCCAAGAACGAGGAACCGCCAGAGACATTCGCACATCAATTTCGTGCAGACAATTTCGTGCGGCGTTTCGTGGCGCATTTCGTGCTGGAGCTCGCGCAAGCAAGAACATATTTTTGTGCGGCAGTTCGTAGGCAATGTCGTGCCTCATGTCGCGTTCGTGCGGAAGAGATGTCGTGCTCGTGCGAGAATGCGTTCGTGCTCGTGCGACCGCAATGTCGTGCTCGTGCTGCAATGAAGTCGCGTTCGGGCAGCACTCGCTTTGCATTCGCACGGCAATATAGCTGCTATCAGTCGGGGGCTACAATGTTGACATGTCACGCTGCGCGCAGACATGACAAGCACGACGGCCAACAACCACGAGATCAATGGAAAGCAACGCGCGGCCAGCGGACCCCTGAGCGCGGCAGCGCCACCTACGCTGTCAAAACACTCCCCTTCTCGTTTGGAACAGATGTCGTGCGCGTCCCCATCTTCGTTTCCAAGGGTTGAACACCTATGACACCTGGTTGCGTGCTCGGGCTTCAGAGTGGCGCAGGGCGGGGGCCAGGTCGAGTGGTTCGGCGGCTCCCCCGCTGGCCCCCAGTCGACGCGGCCACCCGGGGCCAGAACGCAATCCTCTCCTCTTCTTCCTTTTCCTTTTCCTATACCCTCTTGAAACTCCTCCTCAGCATGCCCGTCCTCGTCCTCCGACGACGGCGACGACGACGACGACGACGACTAAGGCGCCGACGACGGCGCGGCGACGGCGCCGACAACAGCGGCAACGACGGTGCCGACGACGGCGACGACGGTACAAACGACGACGCGAACACGACGGCGACGACGTCGGCGGCGGCGGCGGCGGCGGCGACGGTGGCAGTAGCCGCGGGCCGCCTCCTCGCTCGGAGAGAGTGCCCCGCGGGGGGCGCGCGGCCGCCGGCCCTCTGGGCGCGCAGCGATGGCGGCGGCGGCGGGGACGGCGTCGATGATGCAGGCGGTGGAGACGGCGACGGTGGCTCCGACGGCGGCGGCGACGGCGACGGCGACAGCGATAACGGCGGCGACGACAGCGAAACAACGACGCGACGACGACAAAACCGACGACGTCGATGACCACGACGACGACGACGAGGGATGTTTTCTCCCCAAAACCATGCTTGCAGTGCGGAGCTCTTGCTTGGCGTCCACAAAAGCTGGGTGGCACGTGGGGGTGTTCGCCCAGTGGGCGCCCGTCGCCGCGTCGTCGCCGCCCTGTGTGCTGGCTGGCATGTCTGGGTCAACGCGCAGTGGGCTCCGGTCTCCGCCTTGTGGCAGCCCCGTGCGAAGAATGGCAGGCGTCCGTCCCCGCCTCGACCCGCCGCCCCGTGCGCAAGCAGAGTTCCCTGGGGTGTTCTCTCGGTCGCACCTCGTAAACGTCTCGTGGCCCCTCGTGCGCTAGCGCGCGCCCGCTGCACGAGTCCGTTTCCAATAAGAGCATGCAGGCCTCGTGCGCGCGCCGCCGTGTGCGCGTGTCCTATCCGTTTCCACAAACCATCGGTGTCCGGCACATTTCAAAATCGAGCCCTTCGAACACATATGAACAACCACGTGCTTTCCAACAAACCGTGTGCCAACACCCTTGGGTTTCGCATCACCGCCGTTGTCCGTATCGTCAATCGCCGCCTTTGCTGCAAGCATCATCACAATCACCTGCATCACCGACATATGGACATCATGTTCGTCATCGTCAACACTGATGTTTGCCTTTCTTTCCGGGGTCATCATCATGTTTGCCACCACCGCTATCATCATCAACCTTATCATCACCATCACCAGCATCATCACCATTATCGTCGCCACCATCGCTGCAATCATAAGCGTGGTAATCACGACAATCATCCGCATCATCATCAACATCACCATCACTGTAGTCATCATCATCCTCATCACAATCACTTTCACCATACCGTCATCATCATCATCATCATCAGCACCAATATCAGCATCATCATCAGCACCATCACCATCACCACAATCATCACCAACATCATCACCATCACCATCATTATAACCAGCATCATCGTCATCATCAACAAGATCATCGTCGCCGCCGTTGTCGACATCATCATGTCCCACTCGACCGCGTTACCGACACGCACTGATGCGTCCACGCGCCAGCGCGGCCTCTGAAGGGCGCTGGGCAATTCCCACCGGTATAATCGTGTATAAACGATCGCGGTCGCACCAACTGTACCAAACCAGTTGGCTGATCTGCACAGGAGCGCGCGCGGGCCAGAGCGACCGTTGCCACGTTAGTTGCAAGTGGGAAGGTGGGATGTTTGCGCGAACGGTGGAGTTGACAATCCATCCGTGGCAACATGAAGTTGTGCCCCAAATGTTGCACCACGTACGTTGTAGCTTGCCCCAAATAGCTTGCGACCCATACCTTATGCGCGCGCCAATGCGGCCGCACAGATGCGCTAGCAAATTCCAGCCAGCAACCGCAATCGTGACCGAATGGGTTTTCCCACACAAGTTGTGGGTGGGAGGGTAGGATGTTTGCACGAGCAGTGGGGCTGACGACTCAAAGTTATCGTGATTAATTGCGTCCCCTAGACTGCGCCGAGTAGGCTGCATTCAGCATGTCGCGCCACAAAAGGTACACGTCGAAAGTGCAGGAGCCCACTCATTGGGATCCACGCTGGCAACCATCGAACTCGAGAGTCCCACCGCGCTGGCACGACTGGGAGGGAGGAGCAGAGAGGGAACACGGAGTGAGGGGGAGGGAGGGAGGAGCGAGGAGGGGGGGGGGACGGAACGGGGCAGGATGAGTACGACGACGGAGCAAAGGCGGGAGGACGGAGCAGGGCCAGATGAGTACGACGACGAGGCGCTCTGGCCCATAACTCTGGAGCGGGAGGTCGTGAGTTCAACTGCAAACAAGGCGGCGAACACTGGAGCGACCCAGGCTCTCGCGCCGTGTCTCTACGGCCGCCTGTACCCCTGGACGGTCGTTCCTCAAAGACTGATTTCTGACGGTTCCGAAGTTCGAAAGAGGCCCCCTGGGGTCGAAAATAACGAATCAGAGGCAGCAGCGTGGAATGGGGACTCCCCGTTGAAGTGTCCCGGCGGAGAACCGCGGGTCACGCCCGGAGGCCGCGAAAAAGACATCCACCTCCATCTTCCTTGACGTCCACACCCTCATCCTCCCCAGTCCTCCGCAACAATCACCTGCTCGTGCACCTTCTCAAGCAGCACCACCCTGGCATCCCCCTCCCAATCGCCCTTCCCCTCCTGGCCATCCTCGTCCTCCTCCTCCTCCTCCTCCTCCTCCTCCCCCTCCTCCTCCTCGTCCTGCTGATCCTCCTCCTCCTCCTCCTCCTCCTCGTCCTGCTGCTGCTGCTCCTCCTCCTCCCTTACCTCCTCCTCGTCCTCCTCCCCCTATTCCCCCACCTGCCCCTGCACCAGATCATGGATAAGAGGCGGCAGGCTGCATGAATACGACGGCGCCGATGCACCTACATCCGCCAGCAGCTTGCGCGCGGGTGAACGCGCAATCAAATCCCGCGGCATCGCACCCCCAACTTCAAAGTAGGCGGTGCAACGGACCGCTTCTGTCAAAGCCTCGTCTCCCCCCTCGGGGGCGGTTAACCCACCCATCCCGCTAGCAGACCGTGGAGGCCTTGGGTCAGGAATCCAGGGTCTGGAGCCTTGTGGGGATCCACTTGCGCGGAAGGGGGGGGCGGACAGAAGTTGTCCGCCAACAATCATTGCGTGGTTTCTACCCTCCCCCCGTCTCCTCTCCCCCCCTATTTCCCCCTCCCTCCCGCCTCCCCCCTTCCCCCCCCTCCCCCCCGCCTCCCTCCCACCCTTCCTCCGCCTCAGATCCCCTGGAGGAGGACGGCAGGTGAGCGGTGCGGTTGCAGTTGCGCGCCCGCGGGCGGGTTGCAATGTGTCGCCCAGTTGGGATTGCGGTTGCGCTCCCGCTCGCCCTGTTGCGGTTGCGCGCCCGCGGGCGGTTTGAAATGTGTGGCCCCATTGTGGTTGCGGTTGCGCGCCCGCGGGCGGGTTGAAATGTGTCGCCCAGTTGCGGTTGCGGTTGCGCGCCCGCGGGCGGGTCGAATGTGTCGCCCAGTTGCGGTTGCGGTTGCGCGCCCGCGGGCGGTGTGAAATGTGTCGCCCAGTTGCGGTTGCGGTTGCGCCCGCGCGCGGGTTGAAACGTGTCGCCCAGTAGCGGTTGCAGTTGCGCGCCCGCGGGCGGGTCGAAATGTATCGCGTACTTGCGGTTGCGGTTGCGCGCCCGCGGGCGGGTTGAAATGTGTTGCCCAGTTGCGGTTGCGCGCCCGCGGGCGGGTCAAAATGTGTCGCCCAGGTGCGTTGCGCGCCCGCGGGCGGGTCGAAATGTGTCGCCCAGTTGCGGTTGCGGTTGCGCGCCCGCGGGCGGGTCGAATTGCGTCGCCCAGTTGCGGTTGCGGTTGCGCGCCCGCGGGCGGCTTGAAATGTGTCGTCCAGTTGCGCTTGCGCGCCCGCGGGCGGTTTGAAGTGTGTCGCTCAGGTCGGCTGCGGTTGCGCGCCCGCGGGCGGGTTGAAATGTGTCGCCCAGTTGCGGTTGCGGTTGCGCGCCCGCGGGCGGGTCGAAATGTGTCGCCCAGTTGCGGTTGCGGTTGCGCGCCCGCGGGGGGGTTGAAATGTGCCGCCCAGTTGCGGTTGCGCGTCCGCGGGCGGGTTGAAATGCGCCGCCCAGGTGCGGTTGCGGTTGCGCGCCTGCGGCCGGGTTGAAATGCGTCGCAAAATTGCGGTTGCGGTTGCGCGCCCGCGGGCGGTTTGAAATGTGTCGCCCAGTTGCGGTTGCGCGCCCGCGGGCGGTTTGAAATGTGTTGTTCAAGGTGCCATCCTGACGTTCACTCAGTCAATCAGTCAGTCAATCAGTCAGTCACCGGCGGGCACGGAACTTCACCCGGCTCCGCCGGGAAAAACCTCTCCGAACGCTGGCGACGACGACGGCGAGGACGACGATGGCACGGAGGCCCACGACGACGACGATGACGGCCGCGGCGGCGGCGGCGACGCAGTGACGAGGACGAGGACGAGGACGACGATGACAAGGACGACGGCACAAGACGACGGTGCTGGCGGCGGCGACGAGAACGACGAGTAAACATCCCACAAGAGACATACTCGCGAAACCGTGCACATGAATACGGCACCCCAGTCCGCGAGGCCAACCTCGCACGTTCGCGCAACGCATACTCTCGAAACCCACAACAAACACTATGACGTATGTGCGCTGACAAACACTCAAAGCATGTGCGTACGCTTGCAAACCGGCATGCACGCCCCCGCACAGACCCTTGGACAACCTCGCGAAGAACCGGACACCCCCCCTGGACAACCCTCCCCAGCATCTTTTCCATACAACATAATGGTGTACCGTATGCCTTGTTGTTTGACAAAGACAAGGGCGACGACGGCGACGGCGGCAACGACGGCGACGAGGAAGACGACGAGGACAAGGACGACGGGGGAGACGCAGACATCCGACGTCGTGATTTGTTTTCACAACGAGCATGTCTCCCCAGACGTCTGGACCCCTTCCCTGGGACTGATTTTTCATGCTGAGTCGTTTTTGATTGTCCTGGGGCCCAATGACTGAGGGTCCCCAAAGACCGAAGGGCAATTAGCAAAACCCGTCAGTCGTGACTTTTCGCATCGAGACGATGTCAGGTCGGGGGCGTCCAACAGGGAGGCGTCCAAGAAGGGGATTCGTACGCCATGGCCTGAGGCACGTGCGCGGCCCAAGGGAGGGGACCAAAGGACGTACTGACATCAGCGCCGTGAACTCTGGGGAGATATCATGGCCCTGGCCATATCCAACCTCCGTAGTCAGAGGCCTTCCAGATGGCGCCCCAGTGGATGGGGTCGGACAGCGGCGGCGGCGCCGCCGCCGCCAGCCTCTGCGGCACCGCCTCGCCGCCAGCGGGCTCGCCTGCATCGGCAGCCTCTGGCGAGCCGGCGGCTGCGGCGGCCTCCATGTGGGTGGCCGCGCTCTGCCTGCGCGGGGGTGCCAGGCCTCGGAGAGGGCACTTAGGCAGAGACCTCCCCGATGGAGCCCGAGTGGGTGGGGTCGGAGGATCGCGCCGCATCGTCGATGCATCACCGATCCGTCGGCGATGCATCGACGATGCATTGGCGACGTCGGCGATGCATCGGTGACGTCGGCGTGGACAAAATCGGGCTCCGCATCAAGCCGCATCGCCGATGCATCGGCGATGCGTCGGCCCTCCGGTCCCATCTACTCGGACCCCAACTGGGAGGCCTGGATGTGAGTGCGGCGGCGGCGACCAGCGGACAGCGGCCAGCCGCGAGCCCCGAGATCCTGGCGTCGCATTTTTTTCACCACGGGCGATGCTGCCCCGATGCAAGCCACGGGGCCTTGACGGATCCATCGGGCCGAACAAATGCAGCATCAAGGTGGGGTCCAGTGCTCAAGTCGAGTTTTTTTGTTACGATGTTGCAACTTTCTCGTGACGTCGGGTCTCAGGGAACGTCGGCGGCGAGGGCGGCGGCGGCGACCTCTGACATCCTCGCGTCGCGAATCTTAAAAACGACGTAAGCTCTGCCCATGTTCGGCACTGGGACCATCAAAAACGACTCGGGATGAAAGGCCCTCTGGGGAGCTACGCATTGAAACAATCTAGACGTCGGATGTCTAGGGGAGGGCGAGTCGGCGGCGGCTGCAGCTGCGGGCGACGAACGGCGGCGGCGACCGCGGACGGCGGACATCAAAGGAAGGGAACAGCATAATCATAAACTCTCGGAGCTCCCCGCGGATTTCTTGGACTGGCGCTGGCCCCCCTCACTGGCGCGCGGAGCGCACCAGGTGCGGCGCCGGAGGCGGCGTCAGGGGGGCCGCCGATCCAATGAAACCGCGCGGACCTCCGAAACTCTGCGTTCATGCCGTGTTCTCCGGGACCAGCGGCAGCGGCGGGCGGCGAACCGCGGCGGCAACGACCGTGGACGGCGGACACGGGCCACGGCGGCCACGGACGGAGATCGACGGCCATGGCTGCGAGCGAGGGCGGCCGTGCCCCGCGCTTCCGCGAGCACGGGCGACGACGACGACGACGACGACGCCGTCGCCGTCGGCAGCGGCGTGCTGGGCGGTGGAGGTCGCGCTCGGCCCGGGGGCCGCTCGGGGGGAGGGGGAGCAGAGGGCGAGCCAGGCGGGCGAGGGAGGGCCAGGCGGTGCGCGGCGAGGGAGGGTCCGGGAGGGACCCGTGCGGGAGGGGGGGGAGGAAGACGAAGCTGGGACGAGGACAGCACCAGGTGAGGGCAAATCGAGAATCTCTGAGATCTGGCGACTCTGGAGGATGTCTCGGGCGCCGCAGCCTTCTCAAAGCTTTCCCGGAACGCTCTGAGAGCGATCTGGAACGCTCTGGGAAGGATTTATCCCCGCCCTAGTCCCGTCCGACGCAGGCGAGGCGAAGGAAGGTGCCGACAGACGTCCAAAAGGACGGCCCTACGAGAGCGCGGCGATTGGGCCGCAGCGCCGGGGTCGCACTTTGGATCCCTGTGTAACTCGTGGGCGTGAAAGCCCGCGGGGGCGAGGAGGCAGTCAGGAGGGAGGAGGAGAGGGTCGGGGGGGGCTGGCCGAGGGTCGAAGAAGAGCACGAGGAGAGGCCACAGTCGGGCTTGAAATGGGTGCCGCCGTCTTCCAGATCAAGGGCGCCCCTGCGTCCTCTGTCTCGCGTCGCATGTCCTCTGCGCGCCTGTGGCAGCGAGGCCCTCGGATGGGGTACTGTGCCCCCTCGCGTGTCCTCTCCAGTCAAGCTCGACTGCAGGAGGCATCCGAGTAGGGGATCGTCTGCATAATGGATTTACCCCAGCATTGATATACTCGTCGGGTCGTACGTAGAGTGTCCGTAGATCTACGAAACTTCTACGTGTGTCTCATGGCGACGACGAACAAGTCAATTGTGGGGCAAATCGCTTCTGCAGTCGATCCCCGACTCGAGAGGCATGTAGGATGGAAGAGTCACTGATCCTCCCTGACTCCCCGGAGCTGCGACGCTGTGATTTCTGCACAGCGTGACCCGGGGGGTCTAGACCTTTTCCCTAGGACCAGCTTCCATCCCCACGTCGTCCTTTGACGATTCCAGGGCCAGGAGACGGCCTCCGGCGTCTTAAAACCTCCAAGAGCTTGCCGTCCGCCTGGATCTGCGGGCCCCTCTTCGAGGGGTTATTCGTGTCAGGACTCCTGGAGCAGGGCGAGAAAGATGCCATGGAGCGATTGGCTCAGGATGCGTCCCAGGAGTTCCAGAGTATCTAGCGGCCCTCGTTTCTAGGGTCCGTGCGGAACAATCGGACATCTTCGAAATCCTGGACACCTGGGAGGGATAGGAACGCATCACTTTCCGACTTCTTGCTCCCCTAAGGATGCCTGGGGCACGTCGCCCGAGCGAGAAAGAGCAAAAGATGATAGCAAGGCCCTTTCTCTCCTCCTCTTTCGGTGCTTGGCGGATGCGCTGGCCGACATGGAGCCCCCCCGCCCCCCCATGCTGTCATCTAGGAAGCCAGCAGCTTTCAGAATGCCACTCTAATCAACTAGTTCCCCCGCGTTTGCTATTAGACCAGTCTTAGGGCTCGTAAGCGACCTTGACCTTGACCTTGACCTCACCTAGAGCAAGATTTGGGGTTGTCGCAAAATGTTGCGACGACGGACCGTGCGCCAAGCTGTGGCCCAGATTCGGGAGGGCACAACAATCGGAATTTGGCGACTCTCTGGGCCCGCGCCACCCAGGAGTCGGACTCCAGGCGAATGCGTGGGAAGGAACGACAATCAATGACAATCAGCAGCAGGGCATAATGGCGGCACGCGCGAGGAGGTGGCAAACGGGGGCACCATGTAAACGCGGGGGAAATATTTCCAGACAGGCACGGAGCTTCGGAGAACCCCCCCAGCTTCTACGAAACGTATTTCGAAAACACACCGGCCCTTCTGAAACTGTCCCCTCGCCTCCTTGGAACCCCCCCCCGCCCTCTTCGAAAGCCGCCCCCTGGCGCCAGCGCGGCCGGCGACGACCTGCCGACGCTGGCGGGGTGCGAGAGCGCGGATGGGCGGCGGCGGCGGCGGCGGTCCCGCGCGGGTGCAGCGGGGCGGGGGCTAGCCCAGAAGTGCCCTGCTGCAGGAGGCTCGGGGCCGAGCCGCCTATGCCCACCTCGGCGGCGCGCGCGCTGCGCGCGGCCGCGAGATACAGGAGGCAATTCCTGGGAGGTCTTCGTTCAACCGATTGAATGCGATCGAACCATGCTAAAAGACATTAAAAGGCCATTGAACCAGATCGACCCAATCTGAGGACACGGAATGAAGTCCTTGCGGGTCATGCAGTCGTCCTTCAAGTGGACATCATATGGCTGCTTGTCCTCCATACCACGCGCGGATTACACCTGAGGTGCAGTTACTTGTTTGGCATGTGGTGGTGTATCCATCATCTTCGAGATTCCCCCCGAATGCGTCGACAACTGTAACAATTCACTTGCTATTGCATGGTGGACGATGAAAGCAAACTCCGTGAAGTCACCCAAACTTGCTCTCGATTGCGCTCATACGGGGCTGCCAATATTTCTCATTGAAGCACTTAGTAAGCTGAGTGTCGATATTTCCCAAATCTCCTGCTAACTGTAGTTGCCCTTTTCAGCAGCAATTTCCAAAGTCTCACCATCGATTCGAATCGCGGGCACCCTTCCAAGTCACAACCCATTTTGAAGCCACAGAAATCCGAACCCCTTCCCGAGGACGAAATTGTCATCCCAGGTCGTCTCCTCACGGTCTCGGGGCCCCGTGGAGGCCCGCGGAAGCCGAAAGTGGTTTAAATGGTTAGTTGGCGGACGTGAGGGATCAAACATCGGTCAAGCAGCGGAAGGACGCGCCGGAGCACAGCAGTGCACCAAGGAGCGCGGGAAATGAGGGCCGGAGGGGAGGAGGGAGAGAAGCACACTTGTGAAGGCCGCCGTGTGCGTGAGGAAGAGCAAGTCCGTGCAGAGCATGGCGATGAGGATGGCGAAGCCGCGCGAGACGTGAGGATGCCAGGCAAGGGTGTGGGAAATACAGCAGGCGAGCGTCAGCGAAGGTGAGAAACAGCTCTCGTCGTGACTTTCTTCCACAGCGAGAGGATGCCCAGGGGAGGATGAGGAAGCGGGGAGGAGGGGCCCACTTCCCCGCGTCTCCGACCCAAATCCGCTCAGCGCCCTCCCCCAGGCCCGTCCTGGGGCGAATCCTGACCAACATGTCGAGCTGCGTCCACCCATGGCGACGAGAATTTCCAGACACGCTCAAGTGCCTCCCAAATAAACGCCATCGTCGATGTACTTGCTCTCGACCCCTCGCCCTGAACCCTCACCAAGCATCGAAGAAGGACAAGGAGAGGGGGGGGAAAGCAGAGGGCCCATCGTGCTCTGGTGGTACCTGAAGGCCTCCGCGGCCGCGGCGGCGGGCGCCCGAGCGCGGGGTTCGCGACGCGGGCGCGGACCTGGGGAGCCGCCAAATCGAGCTGCGGCAGCGGGCCCATCGTGCGCCGAGGCGCCCGCCGTCACCCGCGCGAGCGGCACGTTCGCTAGGAAGGTGGCGTTCGGGAGGTTGCCGAACGCGCTCAGCTCCTGGTACCTCGGGGCCGCCCCCCTCGCGTCGGGAATGAAGGTCTTCGAGGGTTCGAGCACTCGAGGGTTCGAGGATGCGAGGCTTCGAGGATCGAGGGTTTCTGGATCGAGATCTTCGAGGACTCGAGCTTTTCGGATCGAGGATCGATCGGGCATCGATAGTTCGAGGATCGAGGTTGCTGAACGCGCTCAGCTCCTGGTGCCTTGGGGGCCGCTCTCCTCGCGTCGGAAATCGAGGATCGAGGCTAGAACAAGGACAAGCGACACCACGACCACCAGCGCGAGGGGCCAGGGGGGGTCCTCTTGGTGGTGTGGTCCGCCCTCCCCGCTCGAGACGTCCCCCATTCCCAGCTCGCGGAGATGGCAGCCCTGGTGGTGATGGTGCCGCTTTTCTTCCCCCCGATCAAGGGGTGGACGCTTTTGGGCGTTTTTGGGGGGCCGACTCAGGGTGGGGATGCTCAACAGACCCAAGCAGTTCATGCACTAACACGTTTCGTTTGGATTCAACACTCTCTGACTGTCGGCCCCGATCGCGCCCCGGACCCCCCAGAAGAGCACCCAAAAGAGCCCCAGGCCAATACGGCCCGAAACGCCTCCCAAAAAGGGCCCTGGGACGCCGCCAAGTCCACCCAGAGGATGGCCCGTAAGATCTGACGTTACGAGAAAACTACAACATCGTAGAGAAGGTTGGCCGGAGCCCTGGACCCCATCTGCGGCGCCATGTTTCCGACTGGATCGATCTGTGAGGGCCCGAAGGCCCGAAACAGGGCAGAACCGCCCGTTGCGAAACCTTTGCGACGCCAGGATCTCAAGGGATGGTCCGCGAACGGAGTCGAAGAACCCCAGGAAACTCCAGGGAACCCGTGGGGACCCGACTGGCGGTGGCACCGCTCGTGTCCGGCCCAGCTCGGCCGGCGCACGGCGGCTTCGCCCCCAGCCTCGGGGGCGTCGAGCGGAGGGCGCCGGGCACAGGGTGGCCAGCAGGGCCGCGCGGCAGGAGGCCGACAGCAGGCACGGTGCCCCCATTCTCCACGGACAAGCCCCCAAGGGCCCCCCCCCAAAACCTCCCCAAAAACCCCACAGGTCCCGACGTGCTCACGTGGCAGGGGCGGGCCCGCATTGAGCGGACAAGGCCCACATCCGAAAAGGTAACGGCGTTCCCGAGCGTGTTCCCGTCGGCGGCGCGACGGGGGGCAACCGAGAGGGTGCAGGCCTTCTCAGTAGGCTGCGGGGCTTCGGAGAAGGCCCGGGAAGCTCCTCAGCAGGCTGGAGGCTCTCTCTGAGCCCTCTGAGAAGATCCGCCCTCTCTGCCCTAACCCCTTGGCGCGCCGCCGATCCGAAAGGGCTGCCTGGAAGCATGGCTGGAGATACGCTGTCTCATTCAACCGATCCCACTGGGCCTTGCGCCGAATCTTGGGCGTGTTGGCGAGATGGGCACGGTGCTCCTTGATGGTCTTACCGCGATCCACTCAATTTTTGCTAGCCGCCACGTGGGGGGGGAAGGGGGCGAAAGAGGGCGAAACGGAAGACGGAGGGGAGGGGAACTAATCGAGGCTTCTGGCAGCCGATCATCGGACTCCCAAGTCCAACAACTTTGCCGCCGCGATTGCGAGATAATTGCTACTTCATCAATCACGGCGCTCCTCATCCACGCAATTAAATTCGAGAGCGGCGATCGTATCCATATCCACACCACCGCGGTCCGGATTCCAAGGCGCGATCCCGTGGATACGCGGTGGCATGGATACGTTCCTCGCCGGGCATCCCCGACAGAAACGCACCAGATCCACGGGGTCGCGGTCCAGAAACCCAGCCCGCCAGGCCATGGTCCAGAAACCCATCCACGGACATGTTTTTCTGCGTGCGATTGATGATATTTGGTCATGTCACAATGTTTGAGCGTGCAAGAACCGCTAGCATTTCGATATTGTGCGGGGGATCAAGGTTGGCATCTGCCGCGCCTGACAGTCTACCATCTCGGAGGATGACGAACATAACACCTGCTGCGTGCGTCATCCTAGTCCAATCTTGACCACTCCGCAGACGGATCCGAAGACCTCCTGCGGCACTGGCACGCGCCACAAGCCACGAGGCTCCGTGGGCATGGTCGTGAAGTGAGCGAAATGGTGTGCACGGGTGCTCTCACGTTGCCTTGACAATGACCCCACGCGGTCCACGCTGCGACCCTGGCGCTCCCGGCGAGCAAAATTGCGCGCACGGGCACGGCCGCGCTTCTCTCTCTGTGCGGCCTGCCTGTTTCGGCACCCCTGCCTCTTCGATTTTGGGCAGGCCTGTCGGGTCGGGCGAAAGGGGGGGATAGCAAAGGGGGGGTTTGAGAATCAGCTCGCGTAGCTGATTTTCCCGGCGCCTCCCGGCGCCGGAGGTGGCTATGTATCGAGGAACGGGCCCCTCGGTGGGGCCGAAACCAGCTACATGCAGCAGATTTCGTAACCCCCCCTTTCCCAAACCCCCCCTTTCGCCCGACCCGAGCCTGGCACGGACGATCTGGGTCGTGAACAGAATGACCTTTTGGAGGCCAGCCGGGAAGGGGCTGGAATACAGTTGGACCTAGGCCAGAAGGACGCCCGTTCTACCTTCCTTCCGTCGGCCCAAAACAAACAGAACATCCAGAAGTACCCTTCCCAGGATGCACAAGAACGTCCAACAAACACGAAGAACACGAGGGTACCCTCCCATAACCGACCTCGACCTTATGTCTCGGCCCGACTGTCCCGCGTCGCCGATGCATCGCCGATGCATCTGCGCCGTCGGGACGGACAGGATCGGTCTCTTTGTCGCGACGCATCGCCAGTGTGTTTGCGATGCGGCGAGATCATCCGACCCCACCATCGCTGGCCGCTGGGCGGACGATCCAGGCCACAAACAGAATTACAGTCGGGCCTTAGGACAGAAGAACATGCTTCAAGAACACGAGACCCTCCGCCCGCCCAACACACACATAACGTCCAAGGCTACAAGGACGTCCAACAAAGACGAATCATATCAGGGCACCCTCCCCGAACCGACCTCGATCTCATACATCGGTCCGACCGTGGAAAAACACGACACGCCAAGAACACGAGTGCCGGAGCTCCGCGCCGACTTCTCCCTTGGATCGGCGCCGGAGCCCCGTGGCGGCGCCTCGAGACGCCTCCGGCGCGCTCCGGGCGCCAGGGGGAAAGGCTCCGCGCCGATCCGAGAAATCAGCGCGGACCTCCAGCGTCTCTGTTTATGCACTTAATGCGTCTTCTAGGTTGGCACACCCTGAGTTGCCCTTGAGCGAAGGAGCAGACAACTGCATGCCATCTAGCGTGGGCCTCAAATAGGAAGGTATTGCACTGGTATTTCACTGTGGATGCTTATGTTTATGTCGTTCTACTGAGAAGAAGAAGACAAAACTGCCTAATCTTTTGGCGCTCCGCCCGGATTCCTTGAATCCGCGCTGGACCCCCCTCCCTGGCGCGCGGAGCGCGCCAGGGGCGGCGCCGAAGGCGCCGCCAGGAGGCCCCAGCGCAGATCCAAGAAGTGCGCGCAGAGCGCCAAAAGTTTATGGTTATGGCGCTTGCTCTTCTTCGACTAGTATCTGCGCGCGGACCGCGGTCAGTCGTCGACCACGGCGCCGTCGTCGGCGTGTCTCGGGTGCGCGTCGAACACGGCGCCGTGTCGACGTGTCTCGTCAGTCGTCGTCGACTGCGTCGTCGTGGCCGCCGTCGTCGGCGTGTCTCGGGCGCGCGCACGAGCGCGCGTGCGCGCGGCTCGGGGCCCGCCGCTGGCCGAAGAAGGCTGGCCGCACTCAAGGGCACTGCACCGCGCCGTCGACAGAGAGCTTCAGCTTGTGGCGGAGGTAGCCGAGGGCCTCCGCCTGGGCTGCAGAACTCCAGACAAGGCACAAGCTGGATCAGAGCGCGTGTTCGGATCGGATCGGGAGCGGGTTGGATCGCCAAGGAATCGGATCGAGATGGGATCACCGCGCCTGGCTCCAGCTGGCCCCTGCCGATGCCGGTGAATCGAACTAAATCGAATCGAATCGGAATCGCGGGCCCAGCCTGCGAATCGAACCTCAAAGGATCGGATCGTAGGCGGCCCTGCTACATCGCCCAACTTCGCGCATCGCGCCCCGCGATGTGCGTCGCGCGGTTGTCTTCCCGCCCTCGCGGGGTCACCTTCGAGAAGGGCAGCCCTCCGATCGAGACCGCGGCCGAGCGAAGCTCGCTCATCTTCGCGCCCCAGGGGGTGGCCTGGGAAGCTCGGATCGGACAGCAGGGCGGGGACGTCGACTGACCATTTTGCCCAGCCTCGAGCCTATCTCCAAGGTTGGCAGGCCCAACAGCGATGACAGGATCGCAGGGCTGCGCAGGCAGGAACATGGGGATTTGTTAAGATCTGCATCGAGACAAGGCGATGCCGATTAAATGGGCAGTAATGTGTTTGAGGCTGGCACCACCTCACATATCCTGACAAGGCCCATCATGGGCTCAACCATGATCGGTGAGGTGGTCCGTTGACGCTGGCCAAGAGGGTCGGACAATAATGGGGAATGGCAAGTGAGGGGTCAACGGATCAACTGCGTCCATCCGGTTTCCTGGCGCCTCCCGCCCAGGAACAGAGTGTATCTAAAAAAGCTCGGCGCTGGGGCCAAAAACCGAAACCAGATGCATGCAGCAGATTCCGTCCCCACACCCTTTCCCGAACCCCGCTGTCGTCCGAACGAGAGATGAGGCGGTCAAGGAGGAGCAGAGGACATCGGCACCAACACCCCCACGGGAAGCCAGGCAAGGTGTTCCTGGTGGTGTGTATGTGTGTGTGTTTTTGTGTGGCCCCCAATGTTACGGCGTCCCGCTCACGTCGTCTAGAATCTGGCAAGGGGGCGTCGTGGAACTCCGCGCTGCAGGTGGCCCGCTGGAAGTGTTGGTGTTCCTTCTCTCCTTCATCAGAGTCGGGGTCTACGATTCCGAACGGATTTCTAGCAATTCCCCCTCCCTCTTCGTGGGCCCCCATTGGGGGCAACCGCCGTCGCGGTTGGACTCGCCTCGAGGTCTCCCCCTCTGGAGGCTGGAGGCCCAGCCACTATGAAAAAACGCCGGTACTTTTAGAGGGAGGACGGACAAATTCGCTGGCCGATCGGGCCAGACGCGTGCTAGATCGGTCCTGGAAGTAGGTAGCTCAGGTAAATCGGATGCTCGTTGTTTGTAGATCTGGCCCGCGCGCGCGACGGCAACCCTAGAGGGGCCGCAGTCGACCCAAGAGCGCGGGTCATAGTGCGTCAGACCCTGTGAAGGTGCAACTTCAGATCCGATGCGACGGATGGCACTCGGATATGCTGTATATTTCCCGCTAGCAGCCTGAAGCTCAAGGGCCCTGAGCCACAATGTTACACACAGTCACTACATCATGAAACGAGGGGCAAGCACGTGCATGCTAACATCATCAATTTCACACTCGTTCTAAAATTCTGTTGCCCCGAGGCAATCCCGGGAACATGGAAACACGCATGGCATATCACGCGTGCAATTATGAACTCAGGGCTATCAGCCGTCGGTCGGCTTAAATTAATTCAGCTCAGCGGTTTTACAGTTCTACAGAAAGAAAGCAAGTGCACGTGTACTTTGCCAGGTGTGGGCGTGCGCACTATATACACGTAGCGTGCTGACAGGCAGGCAGAGGGGCAGGCTAGCAGCAGCAGATCATTTGTCGTCGGTTCGACAGGTCAAACCACCGTCCGAGCACCGATCCCATCACCTAGTCATCACCACCATATCCAGTTCTCCAATGTCGTAGCCCATGAGGCCCATAACGTGTTATTGTCATCATCATTTACTGGCGGCGTGTCTTGATGAAACATGACTCTGCCTGTCATAGCCGTTCGAATCTGCGTGCCGCCCATGCTCTTTGTCAAAGCATCAACCACCATGTATTTCAGAGGGCACCATGAAAGAGGCAACTTTGATTTGGCAGCGACAGCAACTTCCTCACATAGCTCATCTTCGAACAGCTCCCTCAAACCAATCAAGTCTAACACCAAACGGCGTGCTGCTGGTAATTTGACAGCTCCTTCTCGATGAATGGTGTCGCACAGAGAGGCACAGTCGGTCACTCACTGTATGGGGCACAAGCTCGGGTCTATATCGTCGATTGACATGTTAGGGTAAATTATGTTCAGCACCGAAGCTCGCATCACCATAGCTGCTCCCAATGCGTCAACTGCGCTCATGGTTCCCGCTGCAAACGTACTTCGGTATACTCGTCCAATGGTGGCGGATCGCCGGTCCACTAGTGCAGCTGTGCCCTCGCCATCATTGAGGATCTTCTTCTCGGCCACGACTGTCAGGAATCCCGCTCGACTCTTGGCTTTGAGGCGCTTGGGCGCTTCCGAGGCGAAGGCCGCGCGTGCTCTGCGGGCACGCCACCAAGCAACTCCAGGAACCTTGCCATCTGGCTCGTCGACGTTCGCCCAGGCGGCGTCGTGAAACAGCAGAATGCACAAGTCTCCCTCCATCTTCGGAATGGTGACGCCGGTCTCCCTAAAGCGTCGAGCCTCGGACACGATGTGGTTGGTCTCGATGAGGTCGGCCACGACTGGCGAGTTCTGAACTCTCTGAGACATCAAAACTCCTGCTGATAAATCGGGCCGCATCTGAGTCCAAAGCCAGCCCAAACTCCCCACCAAGCTTCTGTTCTCGGCGATCTCCAACTCCGCGGCTGGACATCCAAGGTCTCGTATGCGCTCCTTGGTGAGGTCGAGTGGCTCCAGCTTGTCGGCGAACACCTCTTGGCATAGGCTAACTGAACCGTCGGCTCGAGTAGTCGCATCTTTGCGCAGAACGTGAAGGGTAGTCCTTGCCAACCCCCGAATGGAATCAACCCCTTGATGGTCTGGTAGCTGGATTTTGTGCTAGCAGATATCAGTAGGTCGTCGACGTGAACACGTACGATGGCCTGCAGAGATCCATCTGGACCCATGTCCCACAAACAAGGCTGGATCCACCAGGCTCTGCACCAGGCTGAACTTGCAGCCGTTCTCACCGATCAACTCCACCTTGAGTAGGGTTCTCTTCAGAGTGGCCCGCCATTGCCTTGGAGCCGTCGCAAGACCGAATACACCTTTTACAACTCGCAGCACTTGTCCAGGTACCAATCCGGGCAATCCTTGAGCAGGTTGTTCCATGAAAAGCTCGTTCTCGCGAGGTTGCTCCTCGCCCTGCATGAACGCGGACATGCTGTCTGCACACACGGGCTCCCAGTCGTGCCGAACTGTCATGATGAAGAACAGCAGCGAGCTCGTACGCGTCACGGTCGGAGCGTCGGTTGTCAAAGCTCCAGTTTGTAGATCTGGATCGCGGTGGCCTCCAGCGCACAACCGAGCTTTGGCCTTAACTGGTACTGGTTTCGCCTCCGTGCGCATGGTAGCGTTCTTGTCGCGAAACACGAACCTCGACGGCAGGAGCCGACTCTTGTCGCGCTGCTCCTTCGCCTTGGCTGAGGCCTCGAGCGACGTCACCTCCACCGACCCGAACTTCTTCCATTCTTCCCAGTGCTCCGCGATCGCCTTGAGGTAGAGGCCCTCCTGCTCGTCGGGAATGTCCTTCCAAGCGATCTCCTTATTTTGCAGCTTCTTCCGGAGCCTCTCGCTCTGGGCTCGAGCTCCCCGCAGCATCGTGGCGAAGGCGGCGTTGGTGGAGCTTCCTTCGTCCAAATCGTCATCCGCGATCGTGTAATATGGCCGGGCTGCTTGACGCGCTCCTTCTGCCTTGGCTCGCGCCGACTTGATGCGCAGCGGCACGTCGTCGGGCGGGCTGTATACTTCTCGTCTTCTCTGAAACTCCTCGCGACTCCAGTCTCCGTAGTCTGGCCCTGCGAGCTGCTGGGCTTGTCCGGGTGTTGCTGACGAGGAAGATGCCGGCGCAGGCTGCCCAACTGAGAGCTCGTCCTCAGCGGGGGGGAGCTCGACATCAGCTTCACTTGTGGCTGTGCAACTTCTGCGGAGGGATCTGCCCCGGGCGGCCCAATCTCTACGTCAGCAGCTTCTTCTCCTTCTGGCGGCGGCGGTGGTTCAGCTCGAAGGTCCGCGTACTCCGCATCGGCGGCCACGTCGGTGCCCCTGTTGGCGCGCTGCAACTGCTCGATGGCCTCCCCGTGTTGATCGTCAATACCAGGCCACCAGATCTCCTCGGACGAGATCGGTCGAGCGTGCTCTGAAGCAGTGAGCTTCGTGAAACCACCGTGCGATATCCAATAATTTTGGCCCTGCTTGCCTACCACTACTGTCGGGCCAAGCCAGGTCCCTTTCTTGATGGAGCCCTTCTTGAGCTGCCGATAGTAGAAGCACACATCTCCCTTCTCCAAGGGATGAGGTGTAACTCGGGCACGTCCAAGAAGAGCCTTGCGCAATGTGCTGTCGTTCTGCATCTCCATGAAGGCCTTGCGCGCCGCTGTCCTCATCTTGGGTCGTCGTTCCATCGGCTGTAGCTTCGCGCCCTCGCGAGCAGCATCGCGGTGAGCTCCGTCAACCAGGTCGGCAGGTAAGCGTGCACTCATTCCAAACACCCACTGCTCCGGACTGAAACCGCACTGTCTGCACAAAGCGTTCTTCGCACCTGTGACAAATGACGGGAGCACGCGCATATCTGACTCGCCAGCTGCTTGAGCATGCGCAATCGTCCTCTCGGCTAGCTCCTTCCACCAGCCTCCTTGCCTTTCAGTCCGTCCATGTTGCCACGCGGCTTGTCCTGCCCCTGGCACCACGGTGCAGTGAAATCTGTCGAGCATCCCCTGGAAGACTGCGCCAAATCCTCTCTCGAGATCCACCGCGACGCTTGTCGGAGGCCCTGCCCAGCTGGTCCAAATCTGAGTGAATACCCGCACGAATGTTTCTGCATGGCGGCTCTCGATCATTCCAACAACGTGAAATGTAGTACCCCAATCCACCACTAATAGAACATCCCACGATTGGACGCTCGCGTCCTTGATCGTGAAACAGTCCAGGCCGATCTGCTCGTTGAAGTCCGCCGTGTGAGATAATCGAGCTGGGCGTGCTATCTTTGTCTTGGCCTTGCTCATACAGGATGCGCACCTTAACGACTTCGCCGCCTTGACCACCTCAGCTCGGCAGCCTGAGAACCTTACAGATCGTGCCAGGTCTTCATTACTAGGTTGGCCCAAGTTCTGGTGTAGCTGACGAAGCGCTGATAAGTCCTTACTCGAGCACCCCGAGCTTCCAGGACCGAATTGACTAGCTTTGGCGCCCAGGTCGCTGGACACCGGCTCCGGCTTGTACCACAACTGCACCTTCAACTTGGCCGTGCGATTCAGCTTGGCTCGTAAATGATCCAAGGGAATGTCTGCCTTCTCGAAATCCAACAGCACCGCATCGGCGTCGGGATCCGCAATGCGGCGACGCCCCGCTCGTGTCCAGTCGGGGCCATCTGGAATTTCGGTCGGGAGCACCCTGTAGTCACCGATGTTCTCGTAGTAGAACCACTCGTCGGACTCTCCGCCCACGAGGTCCATCAGGTGTCCGGTCGCGTAAACTCCGTGCTCCATCATGTAGGTCCAGTTGCTGCACTGATATGCAACTAGCACTGCTTTCGCAAACTCCTTGGTGTATCTGCCAGCCAATCGTGTGTAGTGAGATCCCTCCAAGTGGTCATGATGATGTTTTCCGTCGCATATCTTGCCCAGCTTCCTGACGTGCGACTCGTTGCACACGAGGAGCTTGGTCGACTGGCGAACCTTGCCTCCATATCTCGGACGTCGTAAATTGAAGCGGCACATGTCGACTTTCACCTCATGAACTCTAGGATGGGCCATCGCACGTAGCAACTGCGGCTGCTTGAATGCTTCTGATCCCCAATGATTCTCGACGAGGGTGTCGCTCTTGTTGCCCGACTGCAGCATACTCATCTCCTCCGCGAATTCGAATGGCGGCTTATCGCGTAACCTGTCCCCCCTCAACTCTTGCCGTCGATATTCGCCTCTGCAGTTTATCCTTGTGAGCTGCGCCCAGGGAACACAAGAAAACTCCAGCGTCACGAGTCGAGGTCTGCAAGCATGATACATATTCAGAACTTCGCGTCGATCAGCGGGCGCGCGCAGGTTGTAGTTGTAGCGTTGGTCTATGGGCTCGCATACCTTCAAGCCTGCCTGACTGATCTCCTCGGATAGGACAGCTTAGCCGGCGAATATCTGCATCAAGTCATAGCGCAGACGATCCAAGGAACGCCGTCTGCCACGTGAGGAACATCAGAGCCTTACCGATCATGTCCCTGGAGCGCTTGGTCTGACCTGGCTTCATCTTCCTCTTCAATCGCGGCGCTTCCAGCGACTCTTCCCGCTCGGTGCGATCATCTCCCACGGCTGGCCCTCCTCCACTCCGATGTTTTCGGCGGTCACAAAGTCCTCCTCGCTGATCTGGTCCTCGTCCTTCTCGGAGCTGGCGGAGCTGGTGGGCTCTTTGACTGTGCTCGGCCTGGCCGCGCAGGCCCCCGAGCGTGAGCTGGTACCCCTCGAAGCACCCCTCGAAGTCGAAAGCTGCTGCAGCGCTTCTTCCTCCTTCAGCTCGTCCTTCTTGACCGCTCTCGGAACTTGTCCCTGTAGCAAGCAGATGATCTTGTCTTTCAGCATGTCGTCGCTGACCTTGATGCCTTTCTTCTTGGCCAGAACGAGCAGCTCCGCGCGCTTCATCTTGGCGATGCCCTTCAAGTCTGGGTCCAGAGCGGGATGCTTCTTCTTGGTCTGGCCGTTCTGGATCCGCTTTTCATTGGAAATGACGCGCATCTCCCGGCAGCTTAGCCCTTGGTGCGCCAAATCGTTGCCCCCCATCTCGTCCTGGAGCTCGATCTTCACCGTGTTGCCCAGCGGCAGCAGGCGACGCGGTGCTCGGGGTTCGCGATCTTGAGATGCGACGCCCCCCCCCCCCCCCCAGACGGCGCCCGTCGTGGAAGATCAGCCCCGCCGACGGATCCCTTGCCATCACCACTGCTGCGTAGAGAAAGCGAAACAGGCGCTTCCAGCGTACTAGAACAGCCGTGTTGTAGCGCTTGTTGGTGTCCACGTCCAGGATACTCCAATTCGAGATCCATGCGAGGACGGTAGCTGGCGGGATCCCGCGCCGAGGACGCTGTATCCTCTGAACTCGTTTGAGCCCGCAATGGCAGCCCAGACTGTTTGTTATGTTTGAGCTCCTCGTTGGTCTTGAGAATGGTTTTTGTCTTCTGCTTGCTGCGTTTCTTGCTTGCTGCTTATCATCGGCAATATCGTCAGGCTTTAGCTTCTTCAGTCGCGGCTGATCACTATCATCTTGCGGATATCGTGCTTGGCTCTGTCCTAGCTCTCGTTCGAATCGGACTGGCTGTGCTTGATGTTGTCCTCGTACTTGTTCGGGCGGGCTCGTCTTGAATCGCACGATGAATTGTAGGATGCTCGTGATGTTGATGGCTCTCCTTTCCCAGAACCTTCCACCGCCTTTGTGAAGGCGGAGGCAGCCGGATCTCTGTCTGGCTGGGGCTCGCGTCTGGAGCCACTGTGAAAAGTCGCCACCTGTCGAACTCAAGCACGTTGAAACTCGGGTGCCCACTCTTGGTCTGCCCCGACTCGAGGCCCCGCAAACCGAACTTTCGAAACGTCATCGTACTCTCGCCCGCTCCCTCGCCGTGGTCGTGCGCGGCCCCCAACTGCCCCCGCGCGCGTTGAGATAACGACCCCGGCACCAGGCAAGGCACAATTGCAATCCTCAGCGCGCAATGTCGCCCTTGAATGGCGAGTGGAATGAGAGCGGCCATCGCACTGGCAACTGGCTCACCAACGCCGAAACGAAACATCTCGTGCTCATCAATCTCGATCGGTTGCAAACAGAGCTTAGCCAAACGCCTTTTGATGTCGTCGTGCCAAACTTGGCCTCCAATGGCCATAACACAACAGGAATCTGGCAATAATTGACCACCACGTTGTTGCAACAGCTCCTCCTTTGAGGCCATAACCACGTTCACGATCGGGAAGCTAGCGCGAATCAGCTGGTTGCGCATCTCTGGACGCGCAGGATTGATAAAGAAACTCTGCTCGGCAATATGCTTCTCCTTGTCGCTCCAGTTGAGGTTCGTCGTGTAGTAGCCTTCTGCAGGACGCCCTCCTTCATCTTGATGATCGTCATCCTCAGTTCCAGCCATGTGAACTTTCTTCTGAGGTCCAGGGCATTCAAGATCTGCTTTCCAGTGTCCGATCTTCTGACAAACTGCGCAATTATTTCGTGCCTTCAACTTTGCAATGCGATCGCTGCCCTTCCCAACTGATGATGAGCCTCGTCCAGCATCGCGCCCCGTGCCCGAACCGCCATTGCCGGATCCCGGCAGGCGATCTCGATGATAAAACCCTCTAGCTTGCTTCGCATCACGTTGTCGATCCTTGGCTCGGACAAGCATCTTCTCTAACTTAAAAACCTCGGCCTCCGCGTCGGCCTGCTCCTCCAGGAGCTCCTCTGGAACGTCCTCCGCGTCGACCTTTGTCTCGAACGTCTCGTTGTTCGTCGCCTCCTCGTCGTTCTCTTGCTCTGTCACGTGCGCTCCCCATCTTCGTTGCTGGGGTCTGTAGCCCGACGGCCTTGCCGCCGGATGTGCCGATGGGGACTGCGGTGGACGACGAGGGTTGTTGCGGTCCATCATCTTCGCGTCCTTTACGTTGAGCAACGTCTGCTTCTGCAGTGGCTTCAGCTCATACTTATTCTGACTTGCGTTTAGAACTCCTGCTTCACGATCGGGCGGCAAACCAAGCCACCACATGAAAAGCCACGCCAATGCCTGATCAGGAAACTCGATACTCAACCTTCTCAATCTCGACGCCTGCGTGTCGAATCTGTTAATGTAACTTCTCATATCTTCTCCGTTCTCTCGTCGCATCTTAGTGAGGAACGTCTTTAACTCTGCGCCCAGCCCCATGACCTTCTCATTGTCGAACTTCTCGGCGAGGAAGTCTAGCAGCGTTTGGATCCCATCTTCGTTCTGCAGAGTCGTGGTGTCCAGGTCTTCAGCATGAACCCAGGCGTCGCCCTTCAGCTCGCCGTACAACTCTGCCGCTTGCTTCTCCACTGGCACTCGCGTGCGTATCTTGAATCCTGCTACTCGTCGCCGGAAGTCTTTCATCGCCATCGTCTGCGGGTCGAATCTCGGCACTTTCACGGTGTAGCCGGGACCACTGCCGGTACCAGTTTCATCTTCGTCTGGCACCGCCTTCGGCGCAATCTCACCGGAGAACTGGACGAAGTACATGTAATTCAGAAACGTGTAGGGCGTCCAGCTGTCGTCCTCCAGCGTCTGCTCAAATACTGCTCGGCGGGCAATCCACCTGATAGCGGGTAATCCGCTGGGCCACTCGGTGCCACGAGATCTGCAGTCCGCGGCTCGAACTGCTCCGCTGCCAGTGTGAAGATGCAACTTCAGATCCGATGCGACGGTTGGCACTAGGATGTGCTATATGTTTCCCGCTGGCAGCCTGAAGCTCAAGGGCCCTGATCCACAATGTTACACACAGTCACTACATCATGAAACGAGGGGCAAGCACGTGCATGCAAGCATCATCACTGTCACCCCCCCCCCCCTCCTGGCCCCAAGATGGACCCACGGGTGATGCCAAGGTGGCCCCAGGATGGCACCCAGGATGGTCCGGGCTAGCCCATCAGGCACTAAGACGGTCCAAAATGGCCGTCCTCGGAAGCTCCCAGGAATAGCTGTAGTCGTAACACTGACACTTATGTTTGTAGCGCTTTTGTCTCACGGCCTTCACAGGCCCAGCTGGCCCCAAGAGAGCCCCAAGAAGTCCCCTATACCACCCTGGAGGGCCTTCGGGCACCAAGCGAGCAGTAAGGGGGCCCGAGAGCAGTCCAAGAGCAGTCCGAGAGCAGTTTTGGGCCTGAAGATGGCCCAGAAATAGCCCCAAGACGCCCCAAGATGGTGCGATGGTGGCCTCAAACCGACCCAAGATAGCCCGAGACAACCCGACGGACTGCAATGGCACCTCAAGATGACCAGAGGTGCGTCCCTCGGACACTCCAAGGAAGGCCAAACAATCGAAAATCAATGCCTCGGTGTTTCGCCTTCTCGCACTGGCGGGCTCCAGTGGACGACTTCTCGGGCCCCGAGGTGGCCCTAGGAGAGCCCTGAGAGGGCTCCCCAATAGTGCCCCAGGAGGGCACCAAGAGAGACCCAAGAAGCCGCCAAAGTGGCCGAAGAGAGCGGGTAAGTGTGTGTGTGTGTGTCAAACCATAATTTGACCCCAAGATTGGCGCTCAAGGCCCCAATATAGCACCAAGATGGCCCAGACTGGCCAAGACCAAGCACACTGACTGCAAACACATCTCAAGATAGCCGAGAAGGCTTTCCTCGGAGACTTCCAAAGAACCCAAGTGATCGGTAGTCCTTTAACCACGTGATGCCATGGCGTTCTGGTCCCTGCGAACTCCCTCTGGCTCCAGGGCACGCTCAACAAGGCCCAATATCGAGGACCAATGGTCGGCAGGCCCCGAGATAACCATAAGAGAAAAAAACCCAACACCGGCCCCACGAGGCCCCATGATTGCCTAAGTGTGCCCAGACATGGTCTTATGTAGCCCCAAGAAGCCCCAAAGAGGGCCTTCGACGACCTTGGGGGCCCGCCCCTGAAGCCCCACAGGGACCCCGCGAGCACCCAAGGGATGCTCCGACAGCTCACGAAAGGGTGTTAAAAAAACATCGCCTGCTCGTGTTTTCGGGCTTCGGTGTCGAAGCTTGGTTGGGAATGTGTTCTGAGGCGTTGCACTCGACTCCACCAAGCGACTGCTTCTCCTCAGCGCGAGCTCCACACGACATCTGGGAGACACTACCACCCCAGGGCAACTTCTCAATGTCCACGGGTACACAAGCAGATGGCCAAGATCATACAACATGGGACGGCGGAGTGCGCGAACCGGCCGTATTCGGCGGACATGCTGCGGGCCCTGGCCGTTTTAGGCTTCGAGACAAG